TTCTTGCTTTCTTTCTTTGCCTATAAGCAAGGTTATGATAAAGTTTTATACTATTTTATTTAGAAATTGTCAAGTCTCTCCAATCTAAATTTAAAATACAAGAAAGCTTACTACTTTATTACAGGAAATTTCGTTGAAATTAGTGAATTTAATTTTATGAAAAGATTACTCTTGCATTGAAAAATATATTTAGGAAAGTATCGTCTTTTGTAGTTTGTCAGAAAAACATCACAAATTTTAGTTTTAACGAAAAATTTTACAATACTAGCTTGTTGTCACGATATTTTAATATTCATTTTCCGCATTCAAGTATTAGAGGTTGAAGTAATCTCTAATAAAAGATTATTGCCATTAAGTTTTTAAATGCTTTATTTTCATTTCTTAAAATTAAACCTGATAATTGCAAAAATTCAATTTATGTTTAAAGAATATTTTATTATATTAATATACATATAAAAATGCATAGAAGTCATTTTAATTCAATTATTTTTAGTGATATTTATACAATAAATTTTTTTTTGTTAGATTTTCCGTTCTTCAATCACCTCTTCATGGAGCAACTAGTTTCACAAGCACTAGACCTATGTGTTCTAATCTCTCAGGTTCTCAGACAAATATTGAAGCTGCTGTAAATCCTAAATTAACTTGTAATACATCTTTAAAAACTTTGGGAAGTGGAACATATGGACAAGTCATTTCTGATAGAAGCCTTTCATTGAATTCATCTGCAATAAATATTGCAAACAGTAAACCACAATCAATACAATACTCTTCAGAATATTTGCTCTCAAAGACAAATGAACATGTAAATAATTGTTTTATAACTACTGTAGGATTACCAGAAAAATCACAATCATCATCAATCACAGCACCTTCTCAATTACCTTGGACATTACGATCGTCTGTTATGGTCTCCAGTGAATCTATTTCACAGATTCAAAAAGTAGAGGTATTCTTGATTAATAATCTGTTGATTTTTTGAATCAAATTAGAAACAAATTTTTTTATTATTATGTTTCCTTGTACAGCAAGCAGCTTCCAAACAAAATGTTGAGGGACATCTGAGATCGTCTCATTGGTCTTCGCAGAGTCTTTCTAATTCTGCTTCGAATTCACCTATTTTACCAGAGTGTTCATTGAAAATGACTTCTAACAGTGGAAGCACCGATTGCATTTCTTCAATGGGACAATTATACGGTACATCACCATTAAGCAGCTTAGAATCATCACAAGTTTGGCCAAGTTGTTCCCAAGGAAGAAGATTATCTAGACATTCACCTTTACATACACAATCAGTTCTTCCTCCCACATCAACTGGTAATAATAATGTAGCTGGAGGACTTTCTACTTTAGTATCAAACATTCCAGTTTCTTCATGTTCACAAGGTCGAACTGATAAGGTAAGTTGAATTCACAAAGTTTTCATTTACCTGTCTCATATTTGGCATAGTGTGAAAGATAGCTTTTAACTGTATTTAGTTAATAAACCTCCTGTCAGTAACACTTTTATTTTTGTCAGATTTTTAAATACAACAGTAATAGTTTTCTTCCTAAAATAGAAAAATTAAATTAATGTGATGGCAGCTTGGCTTAGCTTTAGTCTTATATTAATGATTGAGTTTACGTAAAATCATGTTATCATTTTACAACTGATAACTTTCTGCGTACATAGAAAAAGCATTTTCACTTTTCAAATAAAGTTAAAAATGTAATAATTGGAGAAATTTTCAATCAACTAAAGCTACTGCTTTTTAAACAACAATTTCTTGTTTAGTACAAGAAATTTTATTACTAATTTCTGCTGAGCTTTTAAAATATGATTTAAAAAAAGAAAATTGTAATTATCCAATTGCTTTTCAATAAGCTATTTTTTCTTGTCTCCAATTGATGCAGTAGTTGCATTTTACTTTTCAAATAGCAATTCCACTAGTTATTTGAATGTATATTATATAGCTTTTTAGAAAAATGAAGAACTGGCAACAAAATAAAATTTGAAAGAACTCGTACTTTAAATGTCGTATTAATGTTTTGGATCTGTATTAGTGTCATAATAAGTTAACTTTTGACAGTATTCGTATACAGAAAGCTATAAATAAATAAATAAACTCTTTTTTTAGAACATCTGTAAAAGAATGGTTCAAATGATTATCCTTTTTTTAAAATCTGGAATTTTGAAAGTGTGTAACTGCAAATTTTTTATTATTTAGTCACATTGAGTTTAATTTGTTTATGATACGGAAAATATATTTGTATATATAATCAGATCTTTATTTCATTTCTAGCCAAAAGAAAGGAAAGAGAAAGAAAGAGTAAGCTTAATGAAACGTTTGACAAAAAAGAAATCGAAATCTCCTCCACCAAACAGCTATTCTATGAATGGTTCTACTTTGGCTGAAAGTCCAGGCTCCAGTAGTCAATCTTGTCTACCACTTGTTCATGTGAGGTAAGTTTTATTGAATAGCTTTTATTTGATCAGTAATTCTTTGTTATGCCAAACAATCTGTCGTATTATCAGGCTATAATAAGGCTGGTTTAATAATTAGTTATTAAATAATTTGACTAGAGGTGGGCTATCTAACTGCCTACCTCTAGTCAAATTACTTTATTATTAAGAATTATTAAATTAGCTTTATTATAGCCTGATAATATGACAGATCGTTTGGCATTAATTAAAAACTGGGTTTGTGGATTTATTGTTTAATTTTTTTTTTGTTATGTTTATACTTAATTTAACAGAATAAAAGTTACATTTAAATAGTCTTAATCGTTGCGATTTCTAAAATTTTTCAGGAACTATTTTTATATTTCTCAATACTTTAACTTAATTTTTTTCGTATGATTATAGCAAGCAATATGAAAACAATAGGTTTTTAACAGAATAAATTATAACAAATTTTTAAAAATGTTTTATATAATGAAGTGTAATTAAATCTGAGAAAAAACCTATCAATTTCAGGGGTTGTGCTGCATAGCACCAAAATTTCCACTTGGCGATATTTTTCTATTAAAGTGGCAATAAAAAAAGTATACTGGTGATAACAATTGGTGATATAAAACCCCAGTCTGCTTATTTGAACATTCAGCGTGAAATTGAATCACAAAGCACACTTAGGAAAAACATCAGAATATCAGGCTCCTGTGTGATGGGAGTTCCGTGCACCAAACACCTAGTGATTTCACAATGATAGATGGCAAGTTTGGGCAGAAAAATAGGAAACATTGAGAACTGAAGGTAATTTTCGTGCAATGCCATCCAGCATTTCCAGATTGGGGATGTTTTATCAACCAAAACAAAATTTGGGGAATTTTTTGGAGTGACTTTTTTCACTTTGGTCTTTTTCCAGTAGACTGAAACAAAAATTTTGACATGACAGAACATGTGAAATACTGTTTAAACATTGTAATCAAATGTGTTATTCAAAATTATTCATTAAAAAATTATTCAAAAATAATTCCTATTGCTAACAAGGAGAAGGCCAGATGTTTGGGTCTTATATTTGAATGAAACATGATGAGAACATAGCCTTAAACACAAACAGCTCCTTGTCCAAATAATAGGCCAACTTTTCAAGTGTTTCTGAAAAACAGGTGTCTGAAAATTGAATATTTAGCTTATAATATTATAAGTCTTTGGAAGTTTCACATTTCTGAGTGGTGATAGCCGAGTTGATAAGACACTAAGCACTGGAGCTAGACAATGTATATTTGAATCTTTAAAATGTTAGTTTAGTTTTTTTTTTTTTGTATATGTGTAACATTATTATTTTACCACATCATTAGCATTATTATTACTATAATTATTTCTTGCATTTAAAGCTTATTTTATAAGCTTTAAATGTGAGGAATAATAATGCTAACGATGTGATGAAATAATACCATATTTTCATAGAATGACTGGCATGATAGTTAAACTGTGACTAAAATATAAAATTAATCAATTAACAAAACTAGTTGTTAATTTAAACGTTAAAGAAAACATTCTTCTGAGTACAACAAAATAACAACATTGTAATTTGACTGACTTAAAATCAGGAAAAGTGTTTTCATTTACAAGACCACAAAGCAATTAATGACTTATTGACGTTGTTGTTGGTAGTAGTAGGTAGTTAGTCCGTGTGGGGTTACACTGACCGTCTACCCTGACCTTAAAAATAATGCCTTCCTCTCAAATTTCACACAAAGCTGGTGTTAATCTGTATAAGCTGAGATAATTTATGGTGAGTTTCTTAAATTTAATATTTATTTTTGCATTCTTGAATGAAATAACAATAAAATACATATAAAAAAGCACTTTCGGAATTCCACGCGTATTTTATGTCATTAGAAAGAAGACAAAATGACGAAATTAAACATATAATCATAGTTTTTGATGTAATGCTGACTGTTTCACAGTTTGAGAATAAAAACTCGTTTCTTTTAATGTGACATAACTTGTTCATTTTTTTATATATATATATATATATATGCTTGAGAAGTAGGTCCTGTTATTTGGACAAGGAGTTGTTTGTGTTTAAGGCTATGTACTCACCATGTTTCGTTCAAATTGGAGACCCGAATGTCTAGCCCTCTCCCTGTAAGTGACAGCTTAACATGTTACTTTTGCTTTTCAGATGCCAAACTGATAAGGCTACCAGTACCTGCATTAATTAATAAGTAAAACTGATGGCGATAAATAGTTTGAAGTGGTGAAAAAATTTAAAACTGGCAAAATGGTTGGCAATATTTTAAAATTTTTCAGAGCGACTCTTGCAATTTTATTTATAACATGTGTTCAAAAAGTTCCAGGAAGGAGTTAGAAAATCAAATGTGTTAGAACATAAAGAAATTTGTTTAATGTTATTCAACTCTCAGCGCACTTTATACAGAATTTTTGCAATTCAGGAAACATTTAGAAAAATCAGTTTTTTTTTAAAGCTGACAAAATTTCAATTCTTCTTGAATGAGTTCTTTTGACTCAAGTTGTTTTCTTTTTAAAGTTGGAATTATTAATTGTTCTTCCACAATTCATCTATTTCCTTGAACTAACTCTTAATGAATTTTTCTTTTTCTAATGCAGAAAAAAATTTTTAAATAAGAAAGCAGTTTAAGTCAAGATAACTCAAACAAGATGAATCGAAGAAAGAAATTTTCAATCCCTGAAAGAAGCTGATTTTTCCAAACATTTCCTGAATTAGGGAAATTGTTTAATAAATTCTACTAATAATACTGACTTATCAAAAAGTCAAAATTATTTGTAAATGAAATTAAATAAAAATGACATTTATGAAATGTATTTTTTTTTTTTAAATATTATATTATTTTTAGATCAGTGTCATGTCCAAGTGAGGCATTAGGTAGTCAGACAGCTCTTCATAAGAAATCGTGTTCTTTAGATGGTAATGCAGCTGGAGTACAGAGGTTATCTTCTCGTTCTAAACAACCTGCACCTTTAATAAAAGAAAGGTAAGTACGTCCCCCTTCCGTACTTATAAGCTATGATTTAAAATTAGCACTTACAAATGGAGTCTAAACATATCCGGTTCTTAATTCTGTAGATTTCGTTGTATCGTGCCTTATCCACCAAACAGTGATTACGAGCTAGAATTAAAAGTAGGAGATATTGTTTATGTTCACAAGAAGAGAGACGATGGATGGTACAAAGGTACCTTGCAGAGAACAGGTAGAACTGGTCTTTTTCCAGCTAGTTTTGTCGAAAGTTTCTGACGTGCAGGCCTGCCATAGAATTTTGTACTTAAAAATATGATGTGCCACTACTTAGTATTGTTTAACTTGCTCGATTACTTTAAAAGAATTTTGGGAACAAATCATTGTGAACTTATTGTGATATTTGGAAGGCACCATAATTTCTATGGTGTTTGTAATTTTAGCATTTTGTACAGCGTATCAGAGGCATCAACTTTTTGAGGCCTTCTTCAGTCATTCATACGATGTCATAGAATTTTTAATATACAAAAAATAAGTAAAAAAAAAAAATCTTGTTTGCTCTTAATCTAGATTGCTATACAAATTTAGATGTCGAGGAAGTGACTTTTGGTGAAAAATAAATGTCATATTGTAATTTCCTGTTATACTATGTTTGTGTAGTATTCATATGAATGTTTGCATGCCTTGTGTAATGTATTTCAGATCATTTTGTAAATATTGTATTTTAAAATTAGCAAATTTTTGGTAATAAGCTCTTTTTGATCTGTACCATTTGCACTACATTCCATGACGTTTTTGTTGATTGTTATATAATTTTTTTTTCTTTTTATTTATATATATATTATATATATTAGAATTTTAAAGTGATCTTTACAAAATTCGATTTTGAAAGAGTACAAATTGGTGCATTTTGTCTTTTTGAGAAACGTTCGTAGGTTGTGACGTGGAATCAATTCCTCTTTATTTTTATTTTGTTAAAGTGCCAATTTTATTATTTATTGTTTTTATTCTTTAAACTAAGATAATGCTTAGATAAAAAGCAGATTTACTCGTTATTTTTTTACACGGTTCCTATACTTGTATCAAATATACTTTTTTTTAATTTATTTACTTTAAGGATGGGTATTGATATCATTGCATTAAAGTTTAATGATAAAATTATTTTGGCTATGAACGAAAATAAGCAAAAAATATCTTCGTGTATTTTCCAAACTTCATTTTAATTTCACTTCCATAAATTAATAGAAAGTTTAAAATTTCAAATATTTTTCTGGAGCATTAGTTTTCAAAATTTCGGATAGTATCATTCATCGTAGATAGTTCTCATATCAAAATTTAATTAGATCGTCATCTATCCTAGTAGGTAATTAACGATTTTCAGAAAATTTAAAGAAGAAAAAAAAAAAAAAGGGATCAATTTTCAGCATCTTTCATCATTCTAACACTTAAAAATATCTTTAAAAGAATATTTTTGAACATGAATTATTTTTGCGTTACGGCACAGTTTCGAAATGTAAAAACGTCGACCACATTCCTTAGATCTGATAGCAATACCCCTTCTTTATTTTTTTACGGCGTTTTCAGTTTGGGTTTACAAACGAGTCACTTCTATTATTTAATTCTTACTTGCACTGTTTAAATTAAATTTTGAGTTCTGTAAAATAAATCGAAAGAATAAATAAGGACGATAATGATAATTCTAGTTTTAGAATTAAAAAAAAAAAATTAAATTTTTCATATCAGTATTTCTCATAACATTAGAATGTGAAATTGTTGTAAGTTGAAATTTTTCCTAAATGTGAAAAAAAAAAAAAAAAAAANTAAATGTGAAAAAAAAAAAAAAAATGTGTTCTCCAAAAATAAAGAAATATTCTAAATAGGATTTTTGTTATAGTTTTATTGTATTGTTTCTCTCATCATTGTAAAATTTAGTTGTTTGAATAAGTGATAATGGATTTTCAATAAAAATAATTCTCTTGAATATTTGTTCTCAGTGATGCTTAAAATGCAAAAAAAAAAAGAAAAAAAAACTAAAGTTTATTATTAAATCTAATTCACATCCAAACAAGTATTTAAACAATAATCACAAATATATAATATTGGTCGTCGTACACAGGTTCACCGCTTATTTTCCGGCATCCAAAGGCACTTAAAATTCTCGTAACTGCCAGACTAACTTGCCGAATGGCTACACGTGGTATTGCGCATAGCGCGCATTTGCTCAAATTGTCTACATTGTTGTTATTGGCGATCTTTTTATCTATTCTCTTGAATAGCTGTAGCCGTGTTTGTAAAAAAGATGCAGGCGTCAATGATATTAAGCATAAATATCAGTCCGCATTCAATATATGCTTAAGTTTCCAACATAATGCTTTACAGATATGGGAGATGTACCGGTATAATTAGTGGTCTGGAATGCAAGA